AAGACAATCGATGCAGCAGTTTGCTGCTCGCCGCAGCAGCAACACGTCCTGAGCCCCAGCTGCTGCTGCTGCGCTGAGCTTGGCTCAAGACGAGCTCCCCTCCATCCCCGTCACTGTCGGTGCTGCAGCTTCGTATCTGTTGCTGCTGCATCAGATTCTGCTGCTGCTGCTGCTGCTGCTGCTGCTGTTGCTGCTGCTGCTGCTGCTGCTGCTGCTGCTGCAGGAGATAACAGAGGGCAAGGAGAGCTCTGCACTGTCCCCTGGTTGGAGCTGCTCTCGCCCTGAATCTTTCAGCAGCAAATCTGCATAACCTCGTCACTTGCTGCTGCAGTTGTTGCTGCTGCTGCTGCTGCTGCTGCTGCAGTTGCTGCTGCTGCTGCTGCTGCTGCTTCTGTTGCTGCTGCTTGCTGCAGTACTGCAGCACAGACAGCGTCCATGCCGCCAGAAAAGTTTCTTCGCTCGCCACTGCCAAGCCCTTTAACTCCCCCTGCTGCTGCTGCTGCTGCTGCTGTTGCTGCTGCTGCTGCCGCTGCTGCATGCGTTTCAGGTGTAGCTGCAGCTGCTGCAGCTCTGTCAATACAACAGCTGGAGACGGCAGCAACGCGGCGATCCCCTGCAGGTGTGGGGCCTCCACCTGCAGCCCCGTTGCTCTCAGCATATTCTTAGCAGCAGCAGCAGCAGCAGCAGCAGCAGCAGCAGCAGCAGGCTTACAATCTGCTGCTGCTGCTGCTGTTGCTGTCGCTGTTGCTGTTGCATGCGGCTCTGCTGCTGCTGCAGGCGGAGCTGGCAGTGGTAGCGTTGCTGCTGCTGCTTCTGCTGCACCCAAAGCGGCAAGAGATCTGCTGCAGGTGGGGAAGCGCGTGCTGCTGTGGTTGCTGCTGCTGCTGTTGCTACTGTTGCTGCTGCTGCTGCTGCTGCTGCTAGCTGCTGCAGCAGCAGCAAGAATAGATAACCAAATGGCTCTGTCTTCGATCGGCAGTAAATCGTTCCAACGGCTGAGACCCTGCTGCTGCTGCTGCTGTTGCTGCTGCTGCTGCTGCTGCTGCTGTTGCTGCTGCTGCTGCTGTTGCTGC